AACGGCCTGGGAGGGAAAAACCCCACCTTGCAGGGACAAAGTGCACGCTCCCCACATGTCTGAACACACACTTCGCCACATACACACAACCAAGACCTCAGTGGCCCAAAATAGCACCTGAGCACACAAGTGACCTGTAAAAGCAGCCAAAAAAATCAGTTTTCAGCCCATTCCTGGGCACACAACAAAGTCGAGTCTGTGGGACCCAGCGCGACATAAAATAAGGCTAACCCATGCAACCCCTGCTTCGCAAGTCGTAAATCTGGGGTGGAATTTCTCTCCCTTTTCTTCTTGGTAAGCGTTTCCCTTCTGCGGCTGTCGGATGCAATTGGAGGCCAGGCTGCCATCGTCTTAGGTTGGGATTTGGGTAGGAGGGGGAGGGAGCTAATCCTTTTTTCATCACATTAAATTAAACTATAAACTATACCTTTTAATTCCTTCTAATTAAATTTCTCACTGGAAAACAGAAATGTTATTTCTTAATATTTTTTCACAAAATATGGCAGGAAGCACTTTGGAAGAGGCGTGCCTCAGCGTTGCAGGCAGCTCTCCAGGGTGTCGTGGGACATGCCTGGGGCTCTCTGAGAGCTGAAGACCACTCCACGGCTGGCAGCTCCGGAGCCCATCACACTAGGCTGGCTCACCTCCACACGTGCATTCAGACTCCGGGAAGAGGGGAGAGCGCAAATTCAGCTGCGGTGGTTGCCTCCTCAGTGGATGGATCCAAGGTGCTTTGGAGGAAGGAAAAAAGAAGAATCACTGGGGCTTTTTAATTTTTAAAGCAAAGCTGTTTGGGAGCCCAGTTTCAATTAGCTTTCAATGGGCTGCATCCCCTAAATCACGAAGGGGCTGGCTGGCTTACAAATGCCAGGCGTTTCTCTACCGACACAGAAATATAGCTAGAGCTTTGCAATTCTAAAGCATTTAAAAGTAATTGGTATTTTCCCCTTTACGTTCCAAGATGTGCTCATGGGAAGTAACCCAATAGGCAGGAGACTGTCTCCGAGGCCTCTGAATTATTCTGGCTTCACGAAGGAAGAAATCCAATACAGCAAATTGCAGCGAGAAGTCAGCTGAAAGCAAGGGCATGCTAAGAAGGAAGCAACGTGTCCTTCTCAGTCCTCCTGGCTTAGTGAGCAGAAGGAGTTTCCATCTGCTGTTCAGATCACCAGCAGCACAGCAACCCAGTATCGCTGAGCCGGATCAGAGGGAGCTACAGCAAGATCAGGCACCAGCTCAACGGAGTGGAGAAACCCAGATCTGACTTGGGGACACGTGCATCACGACTGTGTTGGAGGTGGTATGTCCTGGGTTGCACACCCATGATCAGGAATTTCAGATTTCAAAAATAGTTGGTGTTCCTTTTGCCCAAGCTGGTGAGGATAATGAGATGTGAACAGTGGTAGAACTGTCTTCCCAGGTCAGCAGGCAGCCTGGAGCCACAGTTCAGGAAGAGACAAACCACACAGCGTTTACCTCCAAGGCTGAAACACAAACACGCAAGTGCCAGCTCTGGCACGAGCTGCTCGCTTGCAAAAATCTTAATTCCACATCTACATGCCTCCAAGCAGGACCATGTCCCATCAGCACCAAAACAAGAGTGAGCTCTACCCCTGAGTGAGGTGATTGAATTAGAGAAGCTGTCTCCATCTGGAGGGTACCAGTGGGGAGTGAGAATTTGGGGGAGAAGGGGTGTGCAGAGCTTGCTACCCCAGAGCATCTACCTTTGTGATGGGTGAGGAACCCTGGCAGATAGCCTTCACGAGATGGGAAGAGACACCTGATCTTGTAACCAAGGTGCGGGGTCTGAGACTGAAGGACTCACAACCTCATAGATGGGTGAAACAAATCTCACAACTTCAGCCACTGGCAAAGTAAACAGCCTTACCTGAGCTTTCTTGCCCAAGGCTACTCTTGCAGACAAGGCAGAGAAACGGGCTTTTCTAGGGAGCCCTATTTTTGAGCTCAGCCTGACAATGAGGTGAATTGAAGAATGCTCAAGAAATGGGCTGGATCTAGAAGCAGCCTACACAGCCAGCATGTCTGGGCTTGGGACACCTGGCACTGGTGTCTCTGGAATTGACGGGCGAGGTCCCAGGTGAGCAGGGGGTCCCTCACAACCACAGTTAGACCTTCTGGTACCTAAACTCCGTCCAAATCCCATTTCACACACCTCAACCCTTCAGGCTTCCTTTCCCCTGCACCACTGAACACAGAACTAAGCTTCTTCCATTCCCACCCTAGGGAACAGTCTCCAACACTCAGAGCACTCACTGATGTCCTCAGATGGAGACCTCTGAGCTCACCCTACCATCCCCTTCCAGCCCCCTCTGCCCCTGGACCTGAGTCCTCCTGATGTGGGGAGGTCCTGTCACCCCACTGGTGTTCCTCGCTGGCTAGCCGCTGCGTTTCGGGATCCTGCCAACAGCTCCACCTATTCAGCTGAGAAATATTCCCCAGCCCGAACCCAGAGGGGCTGGCAGCCACCTCCTGACCTGCACAAGAGAGGAATGTCAGGCACGTCGTGAAATACAAGTCCTGCTTCCCAGAACTGTCAGGCTCCATTAGCGCCAGAGGGGCCTGACAATGTAAGGGTTTTAAACCCCAAACCACCGCACTAGCAAAGTTTCCTTTGCTAATGAACCACCCACAAGCTGAAACGCAAGTCCAAGGCACGGGCAAGGCGTCGTGAGCGAGAGAAACGCAGGCAGACGTGCGCACACGTTCTTCTCTATGCATTTTCAGAGAGGCTCCTTTCCCCTTCGTAAGGCACAGCTGTTTATTTGCTTTTTCGGTGCTGCATCCTCAACCTGCCTTTAAAAGTAAACCAAGCCTCAGCTCGAAGGCACTAGCTTTGTTCCATCATGCTGGAAAACAAAGCAAACCTACACAGAGAGCCAGCTAAGACTGCGGGAGACATCAGACATGTTACTAAACCCTAACACTAGCCGATTCTTGTTTAAAATGATATTTGATGCAGAAAGCATAAGAAATCAGATGCATATAGATGCAAGAAGTCATCCCTAAAGTCTCCCAGGAACCAAATCAGTGCCTCCAAGCCCCAGGTTTATATGAGCTCTATGCTTTCCACCCTGATGCAGGGGACAGTAACTTCTAACACAAGGACAGATGAATGCATGGGTCATGTCACCACGTGAAGAGCAGGCAGCGCCCATCAGCAGGGCGAAGACGAGGAGCGAGGGTCTGGTGAAGAGAACTTTCTGAAATGGAGTAGCTGAGGGAAAGGAAAAGTCACGATTTAAATCCTGTTTAACCCAGGGCAGAGCTGAAATCACTTCATGTCCCTGGAGAGCACCTGAAACACCCCGCTACTGGTCTCTTCTTATTGCTTTCCTGCCAGCCCTGTGCTCCAGCAGCACCGCGCTGGTCTTGTCTGTGGATGCAGAAGGGGCGTGGGAGACGCACCGAGGGGGTGACAAAGGCTGGGGGACTGGTAACAAATCTCTCTGCGCTTTTAAAGGGTGGCTTCTAGCAGTGGCGACAGAAGCACCGAGGGACTAGGGGCTCACGGGGTCAAACACCGTCTAAGCAGGGGTCTGAGCAATCCGACCAACCCCCGTATTTTTTGATGCAAGTATTTAAAGGGAGAAGGGAGGGAGCACTCAAACCGCTCCGAAGTTATATATTGACCACACAGGCTTTCCCCATCAGTTCTGGGCTCTGGGGATTCTGGTGGACATCCTGAACCCCTTTTCGTGTGATGAGACCCAGGATGCAGTGGACAGGCTCCAACCCTGGGTGAGAAACAATGCATGGTAGGAGAGGGTGGCAATGCAGGGCTGGGTCAGTGCAGGAGTCCTGCCTCTCTGGACCCTACCCAGAATATTGCTTTACCATTTAAAGTTCAGATATTGAAATAAAAAACCTGAAGTGACAATTCAAATGCAAAGAGCATGTGCTGTTAAGAACAGATCAGAAAATTTCTCCTATTCCTTCACAAGTCCCCTACTTCCTCTCCACCCCCACCAAAACCCCATGCAGCAAAGCATCCTGCCCTTTAAAATGTCTGTATTTAACATACTAAATACTCACGCTATTTGGTGATGATCCATTTGGTAGGTTTTTCAAGGTCCAGATACCAGAAAAAGAACCCAAGAAGGAAAAAAAAAAAACACCCCACAGATATGCCAATCAAAGAAGGAAAAAAAAAGGACACTAGCACTTCATACACAATCCAACAACATGGGAGGAGAAGATGTGCTCGCACATTACAAAAATCTTGAGAGAACAGCCTTGCAGGGGACTAAAGCCTTCTGTGCTCAGTGCAGTGTCATATAGTTGTGTCTACGCTAATACACTTTGCAGATTTAGGAATAAGTAAAGCTGGACTCTAATGTGCAGTACACTCAAGAGGTCATTAGGAAAACAGTACAGACATCTGCAGTTAACGAAAAAAATCAGTGGAATTATACACGTACAAAAAGTTACAGGAACATGCATTTGGGAGGAAACAGGTACTTAAATTAATCCTTTCCAAATGAACATATGCAATAAAAATGGAATTAACACCTGTGCAGATAAAATACTTCTGCTCCCTTACATGGTGATGCTCGCATTGCATTTTCAGTTGCTTCTAATAAGATTCCTGATAGCTCTGAAAACATGACATCATCTCTGTAATGGTGCAAAGAACTGCAAGTTACACAAGGCTTTACTTCTTGATCTTGTGGCATTGTTTTGTAGATAATTTTCCCTGTTAATAACAAACAGGATTCAGGAACTTTCTGACCTGCAGGAGTTTGGAACATTTTTTTAAGGGGGCAAAAGAAGTACCTAATACCCATTTTTCATGATAGCGTGTTCAAAAGTAACCTCAGTGGAAATGAGGAGAAGGAGACGTAGAGAGAAGTCGCTCAGAAACTGTGCTCAACAGGCCAGGGAGGGAAGGAGGGCTGTGAAGACCTGTAAGTGCTGTTACCTGTAAGTAACAGCAGTTCACATTTAAACAAACAAGTTATTTTAATAGCTCTGCAACTTGAGCATTCAAATTAATATAATTTTATCCTGGGTAATATCAACATCTAAAGAGCAATGCAATAATGGGATTTTATATAATTATTAGACTTCTGGTCCCTAAACATTTATATCTAAACAAGGCATATCTTAGTTTTCTTCGCTATTTTGTTTTTATTTGGTAGGAATGTCAGTCAGTCCCAAGGCTTTTTTTTTTTCCCCTCTTCTTCACCTTCTTGAAGACAGGTTTATGCTAAGAACCATCCTTCGGATTTTTTCTTCATTCTTTAAAATATTAGCTTTTACAGCACAGATCTTGTCTTGCTGGTCTTTAATCAACTGTTCCAGTTCAGCCAGATCAGCTTTTAATGGTTCTACAGCACTGTCTGTGATGCTGAAAGAGACACAAAGAGCATAATGTTATTGGAAACATTATGCTGCTTCGGGTTACTTAAGCCTCCAAGAAAGTATATTCAATACCTGAAAGTTCGCAAAGAGTTTAAGTTGTGCCCACCCTTCCTGAAAGAAAGTTTAGAATAAGAAGCACAAAGGCAAAGCTAACAACATGGACAGAGTAGAATATTGTTCAAGAGAGATCACCCACAATTCAACAGTAAACAGTCACTTCTTGGCTAATCTAGTTTTTCTGCTCAAATCCCGCTTTCTGCTAAAATTCTGCTAAAAACTGCTTTGCAGTTATTTCAGCTCACCCTATGCATACATCAACACTTCTTTCATTTTACCCAGCCAAAAGCTGCAACCACCTGCCCAGGGATGCAGCAGCACCTGACTCTGTGGGATGTAACACAAGGACCAGAGAAGTTGTGGATGCCTCATCTTTGGAAGTGTTCAAAGTCAGGCTGGATGAGGCTTTGAGCAACCTGATCTAGTGCAAGATGTCCCTGCCCATGGCAAGAGGATTGGACTAGATGATCTTCCAATCCAAACTATTCTATGATTCTAAGGACACCCACCTTTTACAGGGGCCCTCGGGTCCTACCATGATAGACATGGTAACAGCCATCCCTGTGGGCCTCACCACAAGAGCTTAAAGGAGAGAAGCATGTGGCAGAGACGGACAAATGCAACTGCTGTGGAGGTTGCTGGACTGCTACCAGCTATTTCCTACAATAAACCAGCAGCAAGACAGCAGCAGCTGCCGGCAGCACCAGGCTACAGCAGACAGACGTCCGAGAAGAGGCAAGGTATATGAAAACTGACCCATCACTAGCTGCTGACAAGGGCAGGCAATCCCACACTAATAGGAAATTTAATAAATCCTATGCTAATAAACCACAAGTACACTGATGCATCTGAAGTGAATGGGGCTGTTTGGCTTTAAAACAAATATGCCCCCTTCTGTAATGCTTTGCTGATCTTCAGGAACGCTGAACAGCCAGGGAAATGACAGACAGAACTAGCTTGCTGTCATTCTGAATTACCCAGTCACTTTGAGGACTCATTAGCTAAAGTCCACATCTCAAAATCATTTAGTTTTCCCCTCCTTTCCACCACATTAGCATAAATCACAAAAAGCATTGCTGGAAATTGCACTAACATTTCCCCAATGGGATCCTTCAATTGTCTTTCACAGAAGCAAAGAAAACAAAGACATGCATCCAAATTCCAGTACATACGGGAAGCATTGTCTTCTTCGTGTCTGATACTCTGTAATTCTTTCCTGAAGGATTGGATATGCCTTAGTACTACACTGATCTGATTAGGATCTCATACGAAGCTTTGTGAAGTGCTGGAATATGCTGCGGCAGTCTTAGCTCGTGAAAGGAACCGAGTGGCTCTGCTGAGGGGACGCTAGCCTGCCCGCAGTCTCGCACGAAACAGCTGGCCTTTGTAAAGCTTGGTTTGACATAAATCTGCAAACAAAATCAGCTGGGCAGTTCCTTCTTCCCATTCCCCCGCTCCTTCTGCACCAATATCAAGGAGACAGTCTTGTCCTTAGTACACTTTGCCTGGGAACTCAGGGGACATAAGAAGCCAGCGAAGCATGTACAGTCACTGTGCTGGAAAACCAGCCGAATTATAAACGGCAAGGCCAAAGTGGATCCACTGAGTAAGCACATGCCTGGAGAAAGGCCTGAGACTTGCTCCCTGTCGCTAGGTGTGGTGCAAAGGTGAGTGAGTCAATGCCTCAGTTTCTCCAACCGTAAAATAAAGCCAAACACCATTTCCTTTCTCTTTGCAGGGGTGGTGCATTCTGAGGCCAACCAGAGTTTTAAAGCCTGTCAAGGTTTTGGGATAGAAGGTGCTATGTAAGTGCAAGGAATTAACATCATTACACTTTATATGTGAACCAAAGCCCTAATTCCCACCCCAGCCAGTGGACTAAGCCAGCAGCTGTAAATTTCCAACATTTAACACATTGCTACCTACCTAGATAGGACTTAGCTAAGCATACCACACATACTTCCTTCTGCATGAATGAAGCACGTGGATTCAGGGAGCAGCAAATCTATCTAGGCTGACTGTGAATCCAAGAAGATCGATATCTAGCTTATGTTTAAGATCAGAGGACACACAACTGGAAGGGATGTTCTGTTTCCAGGGAGCATAAAGACACACTGGTGAGACAAGTAAGGCCAAAGAACCTGTTTCTAGGCTTGACCTCCTTGTTTCTACTATGCACGTCACCTTCACTCTCCTGGCTTTCCAATGTTGTTTTTTAACTTTGCACAGACAACCACAACTGTTATTAACACCATTGCAGAACACGCTGAATTCAATGGCACAAAGAGAGCAGGCTGTGATTTAGGAATCCACTCCTAGTCCCGATTCAAAATCTACTTTGTCTACTCAGCTCTTCCCCCATTCCTCCTTATATATTTGTGAGAAGAAGAAAACAAATCAAGCCCTCTCATATCACACAAACATTTGCATCTCTGCTGTCATGGTACATCATATGAAATTGAGCTGAAAAGACCTTAAGACTTTAACACTTCAAAAAACAATTCAGACTGTAAAAAAAATTCCCAAAACTAAAAAAATGACTGATGACAAATTTGCTTTGAAAAATGAGTAAAACTCTCCCCTTTCCTAAAAACAGAAATCTGTCTCAAGAGATAAATCAAACTTTCCCTGACCACACTCACCTTTGCTCTTTCTGTAGAGCTTCTGCATGCTGTCTGTTCTCGTGCCGCCACATCTGCAACTCGTTCTTCATGGCATCCATGTCTTCTTGAATGTAATCCATGATCCTGCCAAGCGTAAGGGCACTCCGGCACAGAGTCTGAATAGAGACCTGAAACTTCTCAATTTCTTTGGCTACCAAGTCTCTCTCTTTCTTCCTAGCTGCTTCCGATACAAAGGGCGTCTCCTATTAGAAAGGATGAATGAGAAGGAAAGCATCAAAACTAGGGAAAATGGTTGTTGTGTATGACTTACTGAACGAAGAATGTTTTGGAGACTGCTAACTGTGAAGTATCTGGAGAAATGTTCATGACAGACTGCAATGAAAGAGAAGAAACAAAGCAATAGTCTAGAAATAGATGAGCAGAAAGCATGCCACATCCAAGTCACCACTGCTACAGAGGACTGCTACAAAACTGTTTCAATAGCATCAGCAATATTAAATTGTTTTTCAGATCACAAGTGCACAAAAGTAAAATTAGTATTCGATCCTATAAATGATCTCACTAATGTTCTCATTCTTGACATGATCTTTCCCAAAGCAAGTGGGTGTAGGGAGGGGGAACCTCCTTCACATTCAGTCTCACTTCAACCTATTTCTATATATTGAAAAGGAAATTTCTGTGGCTTAATGAGGCATCATTGAACAGAAGCTTTCAACAGACACGTAATACTCAACAACACTTTTGTTATCAATCTGCTGCTGCCACTGGCTGCCAACGCGTTAGCTGTGTAAATCACACATCCCTCCATCCTCCCCCTGTGCACTCTATAGGGCAAGGCTGGACTGTCACCACGTCACTCCAGGGCCCTGCACCAGGACTCGGTGGATTGGCATCTACTCAAGACTGCTGCAAGTCACAGTGCGTAACGACACTGAAAAAAAGGTCATGTTAAACTCTGGAGGAAGATGATTATGAAATCTGAAAGGCAGCAATCTGGAGAAGCAGAAGCATCCCCGCTCAGGATGGTATAGTCTACCATGAACGTTCATTGGATCTGTTTGCCACAGTGTTTTGCTGCTACTTGGGAGCTACAGCCGATGCTGAAGGGCACAGCCTCCTTCTAGTTCTCTAAATCAGTCCCTTCAAGACGCTTCTCTCCCTCCACTGTCTGTATCTGGATTTCCAGCTCCTAATGCTGGTCCTAATAATAGCACTTCACGCTGCACAGCTGAAATAGACGGCGGTTATTCCATGCCTTGTACTTCTGTTAACAGTGGTTGTAAAATCATGCAGGCTGCAGATGTGGCCTCAATAAACTCCACTACTCAAAAATAATTTGGTCTTGTGCACACTTCCCTCATGTGCAGCCAGCAGAGTCTCTGTGGTCAATCTCCTGAAGCCTCCTAGCTTACTGCAAGTTAAATACAGGGAAAGTGTTTGCTAAAGCGGCGAAGTCACGAAGAGCAAAAGGATGCCATAAAAAGAGCAAAGGGATGCCACGTTACTAACAGGCTATTATAATCTTATTCCAGGAAAGCCTTCCCTGAAAACAACAATCACCATTAAAGAAAAGTCCACTGCTTTTTCTCCCCCTTCAAGAAAAACAACCTAATTTTTCTTTCTTTCCAAGAGCCCTACAGGTCGAATTCCCAAACCAAGGTTGTTTTTTTTTTTAAGACACACAAAACTTTAAGTAAAGTTTATTTAAAGCCATTTTGGTCATTTAATGTATGCCGGAAAACTAGAAAGGTCTTTCTCTACCACCGCAACCACAGGATCAACCAATTCCTAAGCACAGTTCCTAGCAGCTATATAAACACAGAGGTGGCAGTGTGCTTCTCTCTTGCTGGGACACCAAATCTACCACGCTGTCCCCTCCTGCCCTCCTACCCAATTGGCCTGTCTTCCTGTGCGAGCTGCGGGCTGTTTGTTCAGCTGCGTTTGGAGGCAGCAGGGACTACTGCCAAACACATTTCAGCAGCCCTTGGCTTACTGATGAACTCATATATATATA